TCTTACCATAATGCCAACATGAGGGAGTGGATGGTTGTGGACTATGGCGTCTCGGCAACTTATGAGGAGGCGAATTTGACTGGGGGCTACGACCATGGGTACGGTTCTGCGACCAAGAGTTTTGAGAGTTTGTGGGAGGATGCTGAGAGCTTGTTACTACATTTACTGTATCAGAGGGTGGCATCAGTTGGGCACTTCGAGGAGCTAGTTTATAGGCGGCATTGTTAATAGCCTCAAACACTTCACCAATTTCACGTTTAACTCCAAAATTTTGTTGCTCAATGATCGGTTTAGTGTTGCTCAATGACGGGACCTCGTAGCCTGGTGGATAGCGCGCAGGACTCGTAATTCTGTGGCGCGGGTTCGATTCCCGCACGAGGCAGAAACAAATGGGGAAAGTTTCTTTCACCCTGAATGCCCCTGTTACCTAGCAGTAAATAGGTACCTGGGAGTTAGTCAGCTGTCACGGGCTGCTTCCTGGGGGTGGAGGCCTGGTCGAAGACCGGGCCGTGGGTACACTAAAAAAAGCCCAGAAATCATCTCAAGATAACCTCAAGATATTATGCTCGGAGGCAAAATGCATTAAGTTCCAAATGCTATCATCTTGGCCATAGCCTCTGGGGACAGATTATTGTCTTTATCTACCCAAGACGAACTAATCCTAGCAGACACTAAGGCGTACAGATACTGATCGAGATGGCTAGTAAACACATTAAACGATTCCCCAGGCTGCATGGTGGCATTGGCAATTTTTTTGACTAACCAATACGGGTCGAGGTCTCCTTTGTTAACAAAGCGACGGCGAAAGAAATCCTTAAATTCAGACCAAGACTGGAGGCTAACAATGGCTTTCTCATCAACAGCAAAACGTGCATCACCTTTGGCTGTGTCCACAGCTGACCGTGCAATTGCCAAGTATTCAGCATCAGTAGGCTTGGAAAAACGTGCAACTGTTTTCGCTTCAACCTTACTAAACCATGACTCTAATAAGCGGGATTCATCAGCAAAAAAAGGAATAGCCATTTCCTGAGCTGACCTCTGGACATTGGGACGAGCAACTGTTCCTGTTGAGTCTGAAGGGGTTTCAACAGTGGTAGGCATTGTCACAGCCGTGGAAATAATGTTTGAACGCAGATTATAATTAAGTGCACCAGGCATCAGAAATGGTATAAACAAAAATAAACACTAAAAAAAAATATAAACTTGGCTAAAGTAAGAAAATGGCAGAAATAAAGTTGTTAAATTGGGCTAGGCAACAAATAATTAAGAACAAGCAAAATTGTGAATTAAATTAGGAATCTCTTATGTAAATGGCTGGAATTAGAAGCATGTAAATTAATTAAACCAGGCTAAGCACAGCAATTTAGAATAAAAAAAACTGGAAAGTGCAATTGCAAAATTTTATTAAAATGATTCAACACAACAAGTGGCAATGCAAGAAATATGGATGTAGCACAAACTGGACACATATGTGTATATAGCTGCTATGGTAAAAATTATAATATGAAATGTTGAAGGAATAAATTTCAATTTTAGGTCTGGAGGAATTAAAAAGAATTATATTGTACAAATCCTTAACTGCTACTAAAACAAGAATTTCTTACTTCTCTTGACTTTGAATTTGCTAATAACACTATCAACACAATTAATGCACAATGAAATTACTGTGAGAAGCAGGAATGTTGAAATCACTCAGGGAAACTGTGGGAGTGGAGTACTGAACCAGCTCCAATATTTAACAAGTCACTGAATGGTTAATTCATAAGATATTGTGGATATATTTACGTTAAACCTTTTTAAAACATAGCACACGATATCTTAGCTCTTAATTACTTAACTCAGGGCTGCAGGATTTGCAATATAACAGTGGCCAACACGAAAAAACGGCGACAAGGCGTGTGAAGAGGCACATGCACGGTTTGTTTACAATCTGGTGCGATTGCAGCGCTCCTAGCTGCAGTGGCGCGAAGCTCGGGAGACCCCACACTAGAATGATGTTGGGAGCGCGAAGATAAACTCTGAGACGACGATATTGTGTCGATGGCGGTGGAGGAAGCACGATTTGCTAGGCAGGAGTTCACAGCAAAATGATGTAGCAGGGGCCTGACACGGTGGTGAAAGGAGGCAATGTGGCGCTGCGGCGTCTTGACTGGGAGCTGGCGACGCTAGTCAGACGGTTGTAGTCTTTTTTTCGGCAATTGTTTCTCAATAAATTGTACAACACAGCTGCAGAGCAGTTGAAGCTGTAGAAGATGATTGCAATAGCTGGAACGGTACAGGCAACACACAAAGCTTGTTGATGTGGGCTTGGGTGGTGGTGGTGGGTGCAGGTTCCCATGTGGCGCGAGATTCAAAAATGGCTGGCGTGGGAATCTTCCTTTCTCTTCACTGATGAATTAGCATTCTCACAGGAAAATATTGACCCTTACTTCTGAGACGTTGACCTGGAGTAGTGGTTGATGGCAGGACCCCGGTCTGGCACATTATTTGATGCGTGGGTGGCAGGATGGCGGCAGTGGCGGTGGTGGCGACTGGAACATGTGGCGATGTGGGTACTTGAATTTTCGCTTCCAGAAAAAAAATTCTGGATCCCACTGCTGCTACCAGTATTCGTTGCCTTGTTGGGTTGAATGTTATACACAGTAGGCACTTATGTAGTTTTATTGATTAAGACAACAAGGTGTATAACTGGTTCTGAAAGGACCTCGGTGGCATTCAATAATGGCTTACATGTGAAATTTGCATAATAAACATTAAAAGAAGATCAGGTGTGCATAATACTAACACCTCGGTATATGCACCACAAAAAAATAGATCATAATAGGTGAAAATCATGGTAACAATGCTTTAATTAAACCAGAGTATTAAGAACATGTGTATGTCTACTTATCAGATATGAACAATACTACTCAAGGTATTGCCTAAACAAAATTATTAACATGTGTTAATGGCATGTGCTTGAAACAATACAAAATTAAACAATTATTACATTAATGGAACAAAGTTCTGACCTAACAACCACAAATGAATTTTAAGATTAGGTAATGAGGATTTTTTTTTTTTTTTTTTTTTGTTAATGTACAATATATTTACAAGATCAATTTACAATATATTTACAAGCTATATACAAGACCTGGATCAAGAAGACTAACATCTGAGTGATAGCAATCAGGATTCACTGGCCTCAATGTGGTTGCTAGAACATTAATGAACTCTTATGGCAAGCACTGTAAAAATACAAATGGTAGTAGACTTAACAATGGCATCTAATTTATAACACAAAATAAAGTTGAGAAAAAGTTCATTATACTATATATATAATGGTAATAATAAGACACATGTGGTGGAAATACTGCAAATGAATTTTGCAAAACAAAACAGAATAACTGCAGAGTGCACTCAATTATAAATTCTGCGGATATCTATACCTAGCTCATCCAGAGCACTATACAACTCTGGCTCTGACTGAAGGTCAGGAACAGATGAAACTGCATGTGACAAACTATCATCTTGAGAGATAACCACAGCCTACTCGCCTGTGATTGGTTATGTCTCAACCGCCATATAATTTGAGTATAACATTTACCGATTGCTTTGAAATTTTAACACAACGTTGCATTGGAATAGGCGAGCTTTTTTATATACCTACTATATACATGCCTCACCTGTGACTGGTAAAAACATGGTTTTTTTTTTAAACAGCGCCATCTGTTGAATGTAGGAGCAACACAAGCTGTACAAAATATGTTACGATTCAATTTCAATGTTTCCTATTGCATTGATAAATGGAATTTTCATAGATTTTGATTTATTTTCATTTCGATTTAATTATTTTGTGTGACATTGCATTGGAATTGAGCTGTGTTGTTTACCATACCGTTTATTTCGTGTGTATAGTTTATTTGTTTCTTTTTTCATTGTTTTTCTTTTTGTTTTTTAACTGTTCTTATTATTTTTCAGTGAAATTAGGGGAGAAATTGAGCTGAGTCGATTGATCTGCGTTTGAATTGAAATATTTCGTAAGTATTTTTTGTTTTTGTTTTGAAAATATGAAAATGGACAACACGTTTATTTCACAGCTGCAAATGTGCAACAAACAGCTATGAATCCACCGGCTACAGCGTTAACTGCTTTCTTCACGTTATGTCAAAATGACGTGTTTGCGAAAACAATGCTGTATTCGGAAGTACCTACGTATTACACATGGAATGCCAGTAGAAAATCATTTGAACGACGCAAACGAGGAGACCGAGTCGACGGACAACTTGGCATATTCAAATAAACTACGATAGGCAGACTGTACACCGTACAACCTAATCAGGATGAATGCTTCTTTCTTCACATGCTGTTGGTAAATGTGCTCGGTCCAACGTCTTTCCAGCCATTGAGATTTGTCAACGGCGTAACATGCCACTTCCCGTAGTGCATGTCAGGCTTTGAATTTATTGGAGAACGATCGGCACTGGGATGTATGCATTAATGACGCGTCCAACACGTCACATCCAAATCAAATTCGTGCATTGTTTGCAATCATATTGGCCACCGGCTCTTCGTTATCTCCAACAGAGTTATGGGATAATTATAAATCGCACATGGCTGAAGATATTATCCGTCGAATACGCAAAGAAAATTCAAATACGAACACAGATTTTACAGCAAAAATCTTCAACGAAGCGTTGATAATGATTGAAGACTTGTGCTTAGAAATCGTGAACAAAGTTCTCAATCAATTGGAAATGCCATCATCGAAACGACCTGCTGCTGCTCTGTTCGACGTAGAATTACGTTGTGAACAAAATTACAACACGGGTGATCTGTTGTCGTATGTGCAATTAAATATTCTTAGGCTAACGCTTGAGCGAAAAAGCATTAACAATTAAAATAATTCAAACTTTCAATAACGGTCTTCGAGAAATCTTTTTAGATACGCCAGGAGGAACTGGTAAAACCTTCGTAATTAGATTGATTCTGGCAGCATATCAATCCCAAAATGGCCTAACCTTTGGTCTTGCGTCGTACGGAATTGCTGCGACATTGCTACCAGGTGGAAGAACTGCTACTTCTACTTTGAAATCGCCATTGACCATGCAATTCAGTGAAACTCCGACGTGCAACATTTCCAATGCATCCAGCATGGGAAAAGTATTGTAGAAATGCAAACTTATTGTTTTAGATGAATGCACAATGCCCGACAAAAATCTTTCGAAGCTTTTGATCGATCATTGCAAGATTTGCGTGGAAACATCAGACCATTTGGGAACGCATTAATATTGCTTGCAGGATATTTCAGGCAACATTACCTGTAATTCCTCGATCGACACCAGCAGACGAAATAAATGCTTGCCTGAAATACTCTACTTTGTGGCGCCACCTAAAGATATTTTAAACTAACTACAAATATGCGTGTAGTTATGTAGCTACTGCAAAACGATCCATCAGCTGAGATATTCTCACATCAATTTTTAGAAATTGGGAACGTAAACGGGCCGGTTGATCTGACCTCAGGACGAATTTCATTGCCTCATAACTTCTGCAATTTAGTGACGTCAAAAGAAGAATTGATTGAAAAAGTTTTTCCCAATATTGAAACCAATTATAAGAATCACGATTGGCTGAGTGAACGAGCTATTCTTGTGGCCAAGAACAAGACATCTACAACCTTAACAATATTATTCAGTCTAACATGCAAAGCGAGGCAGTCACATACATGTCCGTCGACACTGTTGAGGAAGCAGATGAAGCAGTTAATTATCCAACAGAATTTTTTAATTCACTCGATCTGCCTGGGATACCATCACACGTATGCCAATTGAAAATAGGCTTCCCAGTTATCACGTTGCGAAATATCAACCAGCCAAAACTTTGCAACACCATGCGCCTTGCAGCAAAAAAAATTAATCAGCGAAGTCGAAGAAGCAACAATCTAACAGGACCTTTCAAAGGGAAAGATGTCTTCATTCCTCGCATTCCTATGATTCCAACAGATATGCCATTTCAATTGAAGAGATTGTAATTTCCAATTCGATTGGCGTTTACAATCACCATCAACAAAGCTCAGGGCCAATCTTTAGAATTGTGCAGTTTATATCTAGACACGGATTACTTCTCACATGGACAATTATATGTTGCGTGTTCTAGAGTCGGCAAACCAGACAATCTCTATATCTCCACAGACAATGGAACAACAAAAAATATTGTATACCCACAAGCATTGTGAAATTAAACATATTAGAAACGTGTGCTTTCTCTTTTCTTGCTTTCCCATTTAACCAGACTGAGCCACAGCAACGCGTGGCGGGTGCTGCTAGTTGTTTAATAAAACTGAAAAGGAAATTCCTAATATTAAAACTGGTGCATGGCAAATCGGTAGGAAGAGATTATACCTTGAAAACAAAATATAACTTGGAATATACCCCATATGTACGTATTAATATGCCAAATATTGACTATAAGCAATATGTCATATATGTACTGTCTTTGTTGCCCAAAGAGCATAGTGGCCTCCACTACATAGCATGACATGTCAGGCAGACGACGCCACCGTCCTCACCAAAATGGGTTCTTCCAACATACACCTATTGTTGTTATTACACTCTATACACACGTTATATATAAATATCTACATTTGTGTTCACCATAGCGAACTACTAAGCTGATATGGTGAGTTCAGACAATAAAAGGTGGCCACACAGAGTCAGAAGACGACGCCACCTCCATCCCTTCACTCAGCATTACTCCTCGACCATCTTATATATCATCTTACCATAGAGCACAGCACTAATTATCACCACAATCCTGCTATTATCATAATCATGGTCATTTTTATAACAATCAGGGGTCTTCTCTAATACTATAATCACTAAACAATAGGAGGTTCATATATATATTGTTACATATTTTGGCGATGCCGTGTTCACAAGCTGAACAACAGTGCTGTTAACTCATGCTGCATGGGCCAGCCTTGGATGCTCACTCATTATTGAGGCTCTCACACCCACGCATGTTACCAACGATATTTTTCCAAGATGGAGTCTGTTTACTATCGGTTATGGCTGGACTATAGCTGCCCCTATTACTCGCGGGGCTTTTAAAATCATGTTCTAGACCCTTAATCGTATATGTACGACGTGCGCCATTCAGTGACAATTACTCCCATCGTATATGTATTGCGCCGTTTGAGGGTTAAGGCAGAACAGTGCAGTGGTTAACTCTGAGGAAACTACTATCACAAGTCTATAAGCCATTCGACCTCTTGGGACTATTAATTTAGCCTCATATTAATAAAGGGTAAGTTGATTATGCAAGAATGCTAGCAAGCCAAAATTGGATGGAATGATTCACTAACCACTGCCTTACAAGAAAAGTCGCAACAACTTACCACGGATCTAAGTTTCCTAGAATCCCTATAATTTCCTCGAAATACCATAAAGGCTATCCAGCGTATTAAGCTACTTGTGTTTTGTGATGCCTCAGGAAAAGTATATGGCACTGTGGCTTATTCAGTGAGCAGGTAAGTCTGCTTACATCCCAAGCTAGAGTGGCATCATTAAAGAAGCGGTCGTTGATTGGCTCATTATTTGACAATTTTTTTAAGTAACATCCACTTTGAAGAAAGAGTGGTATGGTCAGATAATGCGGCAGTACTGCTGTGTGAGAAATAACAGTAGTAATAATACTTATGTAAGAAATTCCATTACGGAAATACGATAGTTGTCAGTAGGGTACAAACTGAGATATGTACCCACCAAAGAGAATCGAGTTGACTGCAGAGTCAATCCAGAATCCAGGCCTCCAGAGGCCTGACTTTATGGCAATTAACAAAAACTGAGATGTGGTTTCAATGGACCTCAGTGGCCAGTCAGTGACCAGTCATAAACAAAAGCCACAAGTCATTGTGACCAATGTCACTGCTCCCACTGAGAAACCAGAACCACCTCGGACATAGATAATTGATCCTAATCGATACTCTGAACTTAACAAACTATTAGGTTTCACACAAAGGGTTTTTTATTTCCTAAAGAAAATAGGAATCAAATATCAATTCCCTAGTTTCTTAAAGTACTGGGTCAAAGGGCCCAAACCTATACGAATGGGATGAATTTTGAGGACGTCCCTAAGAAACTTGAAAATGATCTGGGTCTCTGCCAAAATAGACCTGCAGGTAAAAAATCCAATGTTTCTTCCCCGTCACCACAGAGTAAGCAGGCTAATTGTGTTACACATTCACAAACACTGCAGTCTACGTGTTGGGATACTAGATACCCTGACCGACCTAAGACAAAAGTTTTGGTTTCCTCATGGTCGCCAGACTGTAAAGTCCATAAACAAATCCTGTGTAATCTGCCGGAGGTACGACGCTCGGGTGTGTCCTTTTCCATGACCACCACCACTCTCTAAGGAATGAGTTGCTCACCGTTGTCCTTTTGAGACCACTGGTATACATTACACAGGTGCGCTAACACTAACAGGCACTAAGGACAAAGTTCCAGTGAAGGCGTACATCTGCCTATTCACATGTGCCACAACAAGGGAAGTACATCTAGAAGTGACTCCCGACATAAGTGCTGTGGCATGCATACAGGCTTTAGGCAAGTTTGCTGCCCGTCGATCCTGCCCCACATTGATGATCTCAGACAATTGGTCCAACTTAGTGGCAGGGGAAGCATTTCTGAGGGACGTCTGGAACCATCCATCGGTACACACCGCTTTGAATCAACGGCTGTGCCACTAGAATTTTATACCCCCCCCCCTCTTCCAGAGCACCGTGGCACAGAGGTTTCTATGAACAAATGGTGGGCACAATGAAACGCTGTCTAAGGAAAACTCTCCGCTGTCAAAAGATTGACTTACAGGAGCTACAAACCCTTGTCTCTGAAATCGAATCTCAGGTCAATAACAGACCACTGCCTACCTCTCTGACGATCTCTCGCAACGTGAGCCACTAGGTCCTTCTCATCTGATGAACGGGGGACTTTTTAACCCTCTTAACCAGAAAATCCTTCATATGTCAGAGAGAGAGAGAGTGTGACTTGGTTCAGAACTATAAACATGTCATGAATAATAAGTTGGTGGAATGACGTTTGGACTCGAGAATACCTAACTGCTCTGAGGGGGTATCATTACGGGGCAAACAGTCACTACATCAAAATTAACTTAAACCCTGGTGACATTGTTCTGGTAGACAATGACGGACCACGATAATTAAACTTTAACCCAGAGGATTTAATGTGATCAATTATTACAGTCAAATATGTTTCTGGGATTACAGTGCGACCAGAGACATTGTTTGCAGTGACTTGTAGCTTGTTTAGGATACTGGTCATTTATTAGCCACTGAGGCCCTTGGAAGACATCTCGGCTAATAATAATTGTATCAAAATCAGTCGTCGAAGTTTTATATAGTCAGCTATGCTCCATTGTATTTATTTGCTGAAGTGTATTTTTTCTGATAAAATTTGTAATTTAATTTCATTTAATTGATTCAGAGGATTGAATGTACTTAATTTTAAAAATCAAGTATGGCTCTAAGACTGCAGTGGGATCAGTGACATTGGTTGACGTGACTTGTAGCTGTTTAGGCTTCTGTTCAATGATTTGCCACTAAAGTCTCTAAAGCTCATATTCAGCTTTAAATGGCAATATCAAGAACAACCTCTGTTGATATAGTCAGTTGTTTCTCCTACTATTTTATACTGGAGTTTTATAATCCGCTGACCATTTTAAATTTCTATTTGAATGATTTATTTCCAAGCAATGGCTTCCTCAGATTTAATACTGAGCCTATGAGTAACTTGCCTCCTGCAGAATTTAACATGTTTATTTCCTGATATTTTGTTGAGCTAATGATGAATTTGTAATATTAATTTCCATCTACAAGGATTCCTATGTCGGTGAGGTGATCAGACGTAATTTTATCTACCAATTTAATTCCCCCTTTTCTTAGGAATATGGGAGTAGCTCCTAGACCTTGTACGTGTAGGTCCATTGGAATTTTGTCCACACCGATGGGGAATACTTGACAGACGTACAGACGTATTAGGTCCTTACAGAAGTAAGGAGCCAATGTCAGGGGTTCCAGTCTTGAAGCCTCAATAAAGGTGCCTGTGTCAGGGTTTCCAGTCCTGTAGCCTCGGCGAAGGTTCCAGGGACAGAGTGTTCAGTCATGTTGCCTCAGCAAAGTTGCCTGTGTCTGAGTGTCCACTCCTGAAGCCACAACGAAGTTACCAGTGTCAGTGTGTCTCGTCGGGAAACCTCAGTGAAGGTGACAGTGGGTGTGTATAGAGTCTTGTAGCCTCAAGGAAGGAGCCAGTGTCAGCGAGTCCAGTCTTTTAGCCTCAACGAAGATTCCAGTGTCAGGTTGTCCAATCTTGTACCCTCAGCGAAGGAGCCAGTGTCAGGTTGTCCAGTCTTGTAGCCTTAACGATGGTGCCAGGGTCAGGGTGTCCGATCTTGTAGCCTCATCGAGGGAACAAGTGTCTGGAAGTCCAGTCTTGTAGCCTCAACAAAATTGCCAGAGTAAGTTTGTACAGTCTTAAACCTCAGCAAAGGTGCGTGTGTTAGGGTGTCCAGTCTTGTAGCCTCAGCGAAAAGTTCAGTGACAGGATGTTCAGTCATATAGCCAAAAGCGAAGGTGTCAGTGTTTGGGTGTCCAGTATTATAGCCTCAGTGAAGGTGCCAGTGTCAGGGTGTCCAGTCTTGTAGACTCAGCGAAGATTTTCACTGTTCGGTTGTTCAGTCGTGTAGTCTCAGCGAAGGTGCCAGATTCTGGATGTCCAGTCCTGTAATACCTGCGAAGGTGCTTGTGTAAGGTTGTACAGTCTTAAAGCCTGAACACAGAAGCCAGTATCAGTCTTGTAGCCTCAGCGAAAGTACCAGTGTAGAGGTGCCCAGTCTTATAGCCTCAGCGAGGGTACCAGTGTCAGGGTGTACAGTCATGAAGCCTCAACGACGTTGCCAGTGTCAGGTTATCCAGTCTTGTTACCTCAGCGAAGGTTCAGTGTCAGTGTCCAGTGGTGAAGCCTCAGTGAAGGTGCCAGTGTCAGGGTGTCCAGTCTTGTAGCCTCAGTGAATGTTCCAGTGTCAGGGTGTCCTGTCATGTAAGCTCAACAAAGGAGCCAGTGTCTGGAAGTGCAGTCTATCAGC